CTAGTTTGTCGCTAGTTGGAAATCAATAAGGTCCTAGTGAGTTTTTCTAGTCTGAATTATCTAATAATTTCAATTAATAATAATTCTTTATAATCTAATAATAATTTAAATTAAAAAATTATAAAGTTATTAAATTATTTAAATTATTAAAATAATAAATAATAATATCAATTAATAATAATTCTTTATAAAACAAAATTAGTAATAATAATTCTTTAACTAGAATTTGATTGGAAACCGATTAGTTTTTGTAGACTAGAGATTCTAGTCAGAATCTAGCGAGGTTCTAGACAGATTTTTCTAGAGTAGATTTTCTAGGATGGTTCTAATCAGAATCCAACATTTGGTAGGGACAAGTAGGGAAATTTCTACATGGGCAAGGGAGGACCAACTTTCTTGAGTACTTTAAACAATTGTTTGTTTTCCTCAAGTCTTGACTCTCTATAACAAACAATATATAATACTAAAGAAGCAATTCGCCTATAACAGCTCAATATAACGTCATCTACTTTCTCGAAATGCTCAATTCAAATTACTGTTTCTCTCTCAGTCTCTCAGTCTCTCATTTATCAACACGGAAAACGGTTGTTTAGTCTTATACACGTCAATGAGTTGATGTGTTTCAAACATTATCGTATATATTCTGTGATTCAACGTGTTGAATCACAATTGGCTTTTATTTAGAAAAGTGATTTGCCACTATTCCCACTAGACGAATTTTGGACATATGATTTTTTCTGATTAATAAATCCTTCAACAAAGATTTTTTAGTAAAATAGATAGTGTTCTTTATTCTAGATATTATTTTTCTCTCTAAATTTCAGTCGGGAAAAAATTTGTTTGAAACAATGAAATTTAGGTTGAATTAAAACCAAATTTTAGTTTTTAATTTAAATTTAAATTTAAATTTAGATTTTAATGATAAAAAAAAAGAAGAAACTAGGGAAAAAATAGATCAAATTTCCATATTTAGTCAGATGGTAAATTTAGTTTAAAAACAAAAATACTAAATGACAATCGAATTGTTTGTATGTATAGTATACGTATATATATTTATTTTAAGAAATATAGGCAACAAGAGCAAATATTTATAGGAGGGAAAACCGAGTTGAAATCTTATTGTTAAAGACCATCGACTGTTCGTGGTCACATTTAGATAATCACTATTCATAGAGCAGCTATAGAACTCTAGTACATACTGCTATAGTGCACTGTTCTATTGTGCAATGTTATCACAGACTAAGGTCATTAGTACCAGAATGATAAAGTAACATCGAGTTAGAATATCAAGAGAGGGTAGCGAGATATCATTTTGGTTAGAGAATATACAGATAACTAATGTTCTTCTTGTACCTAATTTTAATGATACCCCTGCTCATTTCGTCCCTCATTGTATTATAACTCAATAAAAAAAAAAAATTCAAGAAAAAAAATTATTCTATACTGAATTAACAAAAGAAAAATTAAACATTTGTTTCGGAAAAACAAAATCGGAAACTTAAATAATTAGTTGAAATTTTTGACAAATACATTCTAAAATAATTGTATACAAAATAATATAATTATTATAATTTCCCATATAGAGTCTGGACCATATTTTTTACTTTTTATTTAAATTTACTGACTTGTTTAAATTTTTCGGATCAATTTTTCTAAAATATTTTTTTGCAATAAATATATGTTTTTGTAATGAATATTTTTTTATTAAAAACTTATTTTTAAAAAAACGTACATAGGTAAGTTTTTTTAAAAAATAATCGTATATATCTAATTTTTTATAATTCAATTTAAGTTTATATTTTTAAATTTGACATAAAGCAATTTTCTCAATTTTAACTTCTAAATATAATTGAAGTGACTTTTAAAAACTCGATACTAATTTAAGTGTCTTTTCATGAAAAGGTAAATTTTTAAATTAAGACAAAGTACAAAAATAATTTAGTTTTCAAAAATAAAAATAAATCGTCACTTATAAATATCTGAACATTAAGAAAGAAAATTCATCAGAAATGTAAGAATAAATGCAAATACATTTATAAATAAGCAATTGCTTTCATTTTTCCATTTCTGATGCGAAGTTACTTTCATTATTTTCATAATAAATTACCTTTTAACTATAATAATCTAATTATTATTTCTTATTTTTAAAAATTTTAATACAATTCTTCGCAAAAATTCGATTATTTTTTAAAATAAAAAAATTCTTCTCAGAAATTCAATTATTTTCGATGCAATTTTAAAACATTTTCTTGAAATGATTCAATTATTTATAAAAAGTGTTAATAAAATTTTTCCAAAAGATTTCCATGTCAAAAATAAACCTTAAATCAATTTTTTAATTACAATTATTAACAAACATGATTAATTGAAGAACTTGAAATAAATACTTTCTAAAATTTAATTACTTTCATGTCAATTAAAATTATTTCAAAAACTGCATTATTTTTAAAAAATTCAAAAAAAAATTCTGCAAAACAATTTAATTGCAAATTTTCGGAAATTTTTATTAAATTCTTCGTGAGAATTCAATTATTTTTACAAATAATAAAATTCTTCTCAAGAATTCAATTATTTTTATAAATAATAAAATGCTTCTCTAGAATTTAATTAATTGCAATATTATTTAACATTTCCCGGAAGGATTCCATATTTTTAAAAATTGTTAACAAAATTTTTCGCAAGAATTTTCAAAAATAAACATTTTTTTCGCTTGAATTCAATTAATTTCGGTCCAATTTTTAAAAAAATCTCTAATTCAATTATTTCTAAAAAATTTTAATAAAATCCAAATATCAAATTTTTTAATTACAATTATTAACAAACATGACTAACTTAAAAAGATGAAATAAATACTTCGTAAAATTCAATTAGTTTCAGAATTTGCAATTAAAATTATTAAAAAAGCTTTGTATTGGAAAAATTAAAAAAAAAATCTGTAAAACAATTTAATTGCATATTTTCAAAAATTTTTATAAAATTCTTCGTAAGAATTCAATTATTTGCAATATTATTTTAATAACATTTCTCGGAAGGATTCAATATTTATAAAATTTGTTAACAAAATTTATCGCAAAAATTCAATTATTTTCAACAGTTTCGATATAATGTTTTATAAAAAATCAATTATTTTCATAAATAAACATTTTTTCGCATGAATTCAATTAATTTTGGTCCAATTTTTATAAAAGTTCTCACGCAAGAATTCAATTATTTCTAAAACATTTTAATAAAATTCAAGAATCAAATTTTTTAATTACAATTATTAACAAACATACTTAACTTAAAAAGTTGAAATAAATACTTCGTAAAATTCAATTAGTTTTAGAATTGGCAATTTAAATTACCAAAAAAAAACTGTATTGGAAAAATTCAAAAAACATCTGTAAAAAAATTTAATTGCATATTTTCAAAAATTTTTATAAAATTCTTCGTAAGAATTCAATTATTGTTATAAATAATGAGATTTATCTCAGGAATTCAATTATTTGCAATATAATTTTAATAACATTTTTTAACTAAATAAATTTTTTTCATTTAACTCTGTCAATTTTTAAAAATTGTAACACAAAAAAAATTTTTCGTTCAAAATGTTAGGAAAATTTATTATAATAATAAAAAAAAATGTATTGCCTTTGTCTAAATCTACATCACTTGAAAATAACTAATTATTAGAAAAACTTGAATTTAAAAATATTTATATTAACAATTTTTAATTTCTACAGACTTTTTTTTGTTTATTTCAACATTTAAAATTATTATTTATTTTAATCATTAACGTTATGTAAAAAAACAAAATTTTTTGTTAACAAATTGAATTATTATTATTATTATTTTTATTAATTAGTAATATTTCAAAAAAACATTTTTAACTCTATTCAATTTATGATAATTATATTAGTTATCACAAATTAAATTTGTGACGTATTATTAATGAAATAATAAAGAAAAAAATTTTTATTACATTTTTTTCTTTCAAATTAATTTTTAAATGCAATTTCCATGAATTTATATTAATAAGGAAAAATAAACATATAAATAAAACAATTATTCATTTAAGTGTAACCATTTTCAGTATTTCAATTAATATTTAGTATTGGTTTAATTTTCAAAGTGAACATGTTATCATTTTGCGTAATTTAATTAATATGTACACGTCCATGTATCTATAGATGCTATATACATTTAAATTAAACTGATACACCTCCATCAATAAATATATTCAAAAGATTTATATATTTATAATTATCGTTAACATTTCATTTAATACAAAATGGAAATTATACACTATTATTATTCAAATTATTCATTATCATTAAAACGTACATCATTCAACTAATTATTTACTACATGGTTTCGCAATAACAATTCGAAATTAATTCAAAAAAAAAAAAATAATAAATAAAACATAATGAATAGAAAAAAAATTGTCTCGAAAATTGTCTGAAAAAATTACTCGAAATAGAAAAATAATAAAGAAAAGTTAACCTTAAATTTTCCACGTCAAAAAAAAAAAGAAAAACTAAATTTTTTCTCCCTGTAATTTCAGAAATTATTGTGCAAATAAAGATAAAAGTCGAAAACAAATGACAGTAAATCAGGGATTATGAAAAAAGGGGTCAACAATAGTCCCTCTAAAGTAAATATGTTCGCGTCACTTTGTTTATTTATCCCGCCAAAACAGCTGTTCGTTAAGATGTGATTCAATTAGAGCAAATAAACATTAATAATAGAATAAATATCGAACAAAAAAGTCTTTAGATTTAATCTATTTATGAAATCAAAAATTAAATCTCCCATATCGGGAAAAAGGGAAAAACGAAAAAAAAAACCAAATTTAGAAAAGCAGGTCAAAAAAAGGTTCTAACCTCTCAACGCCGGCCTCCTTTTCAGACCCATTATATACTTATATATGAAATCAATCTCCCGGCTTTCACAAACAACAACAAAAAAAAACCACCCGAAACAGATTTCAAATATAACAATAAAAAGAAAAAACTTACCATCGTTTTGTTGATGAATTCCTTTAGTAACCCTCGTCGAAATCCACTTGACACCGGACAATCCGTATAAGAGAAAGAGTGCAGTAATGCTCGATTAACCCTTAAATCCGCTCCTCACCCATGAAAATCGACGATATTTTCACTGAAATGTGAAATTTATATCCTTAATGCACATTATTATATCACACTATTTTTCTTCCGTCACCGAACATTATCGCGACAAAAAACTGTTAAAAACATCCAATGATACTTCATCTTTAAAGGGATTAATTAATAACTGAAAGGCAGTCAACCGCGCAAAAACCGAGGGCAGAGGGGGGGAGGGAGGGAAACGATTGAGCAATAATTTTTATTGGCGGGATAATGTCCAAATCAGAAATGTTTACAATTTAAACAACGCGTTCTGATTGGGTCACGACTTTATACCCTAAAGTTGGCAATTAACACTTCTTTTCCCCCAACAATATCGCCTTTAACTTCCGGTAAATTTTTATTTTTGCGTATAAACGAAAAAAATGTGAAAAAAAACCGGCACCTCGGACCAGAAAGGCAACGAACGATCGATTCTACCACCAAAAGCAGCGTGCTACGACTACTGCTTTTCCGGGTCGCCCTTGTAAATTTTCCCCCGTGAAAAATCAAAACTTTTCCCAGAATTTTAGTCTTTTTAACTTATTTCCGATTTTGAGCACTCGCACTAAATAAAAGGAAAAGAAAAGAGATTCACAGTTTTGGTTTGGTTTTTTTTTTTTTTTTTGACAGTTCGGGTGGTTTCTGATCGAAGGAAGAGAGAATTTCACGTAACTCACTCGTGAAGTATTCGCCCCGGACTGAAAGCTGAAACTGACTAGGAGCATCCGAGGCGAGGCGAATCGAGTCGAGTCGACGCGACGGGAGGAGAGTTCAGTCATTGGTCGTGGAAGTCGTTCGCAGGGGAGAATTTCTACATGGAACTGTGTATTAAAAAAAAGTGTGTGAGTATAAAGAATTTCACTTTTTAATTTTTTAATTTTTTGATAATTTTTATCACTTTAAATTATTATTGAGGAAGTGGAAAAAACATTTTTGGAAACTTTCCAAATTCCGTTGAGAAAATACATCTTTTGTTTTCTCACTACCCGAAGAACTCTTTGTTTACAATTTCTTTCAGAGGGCGATTGCGGTCATAAGATAAGGGTTCTTGTCACTATTTACAGTTGACACAGCACATTTTTGAATATTAAATTAAACTTTGATACAAATATTTTCGTCAAACAAATGTATATATTTACGATGCAAGCAATAGGAATAGTATTTTACTTTTTTAGGTTATGTTTGCCGCAGCGCCGAACATTTGCACCGGACTTTTTTTCCTTTTTCCTTAACAATCGACAATAATTAAACAAATTTTTAACTTTAACAATAACAGTAGACAGTTGAATAGAAAACTAATATTACATTTAGTAATTAAGAAGAAATCGAAGAAATTAATAAAAATTGGAATTGCAAATTTTTATTTTTTTTTTAGGTTATGTTTGCTGTCAAGGACTTCGTTCTTTTGTTTTTGGAAAATACGGACGAAATTTCTATACATATTTGAAGAATCGAATGCATTGAATGAAAAGGTTAGCAGGAAAGTTAATAATTTTACAGGTGAATAATTATTTTTTAATAAATTCGAATTTTTTAAATTGTCACGCAATTTCGTTAAAAATTTGCCATTTATAACACGAAAAAGCTCTTGCTTTTTTCATAATAACCTTGGTCGCTTTTTGATATTTATTTTCGTGTATTCAAATTAAAATTGCAAACGCTTTCGAGAGATAAAATTATTGCAATTACTCTTTAAAAATATAAATTGTGCTCCTGTATTCAAATTTTTTTCGCAGATTACTTTTTTTATATTTAAATTACCAGTTATTCAATTTAAATACAATAATTTAATGACTAGTTAATTTAATGTAATCTTAATTTTAATTAATTTTAGTTAATTTCAATTTTCAATTTAATTAATTTAAATACAATAATTTAATGACTAGTTAATTTAATGTAATATTAATTTTAGTTAACTTCAATTTTGATTAATTTTAATTTTAGTTAATTTTAATTTTAATTAATTTCAATTTTAGTTCATTTAAGTTTATATTTTTAAATTTGGTATAAAACATTTTTCTCAGTTTTAACTTTAAATATACCCACATAGCACCATAGTATGAGGTAAGGTTATGTTGAGTACTAATCGTAAGGCACATAAGGTTACACAATATTGCTGCGGTAGACCTGAGGTGAACTAAAAACTTCCGCCATGGAGGTAAGGTTACATGTTAGGGTGTGGTGAGTATATATGATAAGGCCATGGTAACCTTACACGTTAAGGTTAAGGTAACCTTACACGTTAAGGTTGATGTAACCTTACACGTTAAGGTTGAGGTAACGTTACATGTTAAGGTTGAGGTAAGGTTACATGTCAAGGTTGAGGTAAGGTAATTATTAAGTTGTAAGGTTGAGGTAAGGTTAAGGTAAGGTTGTGATAAATTTACCAGTTATGGAAAATATTAAAAAAATAATTAATAAATAAATATTCAATTAAAAAGTTAGTTTGTTGCTCTTCTCTATTTTGGAAACCTGACATGAAGCAGAAAATTTTGAAAACAAATTTGGGGGGACTGGGATTCGAACCCGGGATCGACGCGCATAAACCTATCATTCTAACTAACTGAGCTAAGTAGAGAACTGGCAGAAGGAAAATTAATGTTGCCTTTAAGGTGAACCAAGAAGATGATTAACTCCTTAAAGGCAATATTAATTTTCCTTCTACCAGTTCTCTACTTAGCTCAGTTAGTTAGAATGATAGGTTTATGCGCGTCGATCCCGGGTTCAAATCCCAGTCCCCCCAAATTTGTTTTCAAAATTTTCTGCTTCATGTCAGGTTTCCAAAATAGAGAGGAGCAACAAACTAACTTTTTAATTGAATATTTATTTATTAATTATTTTTTCAATATTTTCCATAACTGGTAAATTTATCACAACCTTACCTTAGCCTTACCTCAACCTTACAACTTAATAATTACCTTACCTCAACCTTGACATGTAACCTTACCTCAACCTTAACATGTAACGTTACCTCAACCTTAACGTGTAAGGTTACATCAACATTAACGTGTAAGGTTACCTTAACCTTAACGTGTAAGGTTACCATGGCCTTATCATATATACTCACCACACCCTAACATGTAACCTTACCTCCATGGCGGAAGTTTTTAGTTCACCTCAGGTCTACCGCAGCAATATTGTGTAACCTTATGTGCCTTACGATTAGTACTCAACATAACCTTACCTCATACTATTGTGCTATGTGGGTAATTAAAGTGACTTTTAAAAACTCAATACTAATTAAGGGTCTTCTCATGAAAAGGTAAATTATTAAATTAAGACAAAGTACAAAAATAATTTTTGTTTTAAAATAAAAAGAAATCGTCACTTATAAATATCAGAACATTAAAAAAAAAAGTTCATCCGAAATGTAAGAATAAATGCAAATACAATTATTAATAAGTAATTGCTTTTATTTTTCCATTTATGATGCGAAGTTTCTTTCATAATTTTCATTGTAAATTAGCTTTTAACTATAATAATCTAATTAGTATTTATTTTAAAAAATTTTAATACAATTCTTCGCAAAAATTCGATTTTTTTATAATTAAAAAAATTCTTCTCAGGAATTCAATTATTTTCGATACAATTTTAAAACATTTTCTCGAAATGATTCAATTATTTATAAAAAGTGTTAATAAAATTCTTCCAAAAGATTTTCTTCGTAAGAATTCAATTATTTTTATAAATAATAAAATTTTTCTCAAGAATTCAATTATTTGCAAAAATTATTTAACATTTCTCGGAAGGATTCAATATTTATAAAAATTGTTAACAAAATTTTTCGCAAGAATTCAATTATTTTCAAAAGTTTCGATAGAATGTTTTATAAGAAATCAATTGTTTTCACAAATAAACATTTTTTTCGCTTGAATTCAATTAATTTCAATGCAATTTTTATAAAATTTCTCTCAAAAATTCAATTATTTCTAAAAAAAATTTTAATAAAATTCAAGAATCAAATTTTTTAATTACAATTATTAACAAACATGATTAACTTAAAAAATTAAATAAATACCTCGTAAAATTCAATTAGTTTCAGAATTGACAATTAAAATTATTAAATAAAAACGTTGTATTGGAAAAATTCAAAAAAAAATCTGTAAAACAATTTAGTTGCATATTTTCAAAACATTTTGAAAAATTTTTCTTAAGAGTTCAATTATTTTTATAAATAATAAGATTCATCTCCAGAATTGAATTATTTGCAATATAATTTTAATAACATTTTGTAACTAAATGAATTACAAATATTTTTCATTTCACTCTGGCAATTTTTAATAATTTTAACACAAAAAAAATGTTTCGTTCAAAATCTTAGGAAAATTTATTATAATTAATTAATTATGTTAGTTAATTTAAATTTTCAATTTAATTTATGTAAATACAATAATTTAATTACTAGTTAATTTAATTTTAATTAATTTTTATTTTAGTTAATTTCAATTTTTTTTAATTTTAATTAATTTCAATTTTTTAGTTAATTTTAATTTCAATTAATTCCAATTTTAGTTTTAATTAATTTCAATTTTAGTTAATTTTAATTTGAATTTCAGTTTTCAATTTTAATAGTTTAGTTTTTCAATTTAAATCCCTAGTTTTAAAAGATAAAAAGTACCAATTTGTCTCTAATGTGGAAGATTAATTTAATTGACTTACAATTTTATAGGCATTGTCTTTTGGAAGAAAAATATGACAATGGATGGTTGGAACTGTTGGATAGCTTCGAGACTCTTGACTCCCAAGACATTGAAGGGGGTAAACCGCGAGAGAACTTTAAACCCGCTGAAATCGCTTTAAGCGATTCCATCCCTCGATTCTTTGAAAGTCTGGGCGATAGTTTCACCCCAGGGAGTATGGTCGTTCAAATCGAAAGAGAATTACTCCAAACACCCTGGCTCTTCGAATCTCATAAGAACAGGCTAAACTCATTAGACGTTGCAATCAAAAACAAATGAGTTCCAAGATTAGTAATTTAATCATAGCGATCGTTTGATAATTCAATCTCTTAGCGATCTTTTTTTATTATATAATCTAAATCATTGCGGATGATATAAATTCAATCAACTCTTGTAATGTATAAAAGGATTATGAAAAATCATTTTACTGTGCCCGGCGAATATTTATAATGG